ATCTCAAAGGAGCACGATAATTTCTGGAAGATGACTTGCATCGAGCCTGGAAACGGAGCGTGGGACTCTTTCTGGCATGACATTTGGATCCCAGAAACCTCTCTCGCCACCAACTATCCAAGGGTTGCAGCTGCTTCCTCCACTCCTGATGCCCGAATCTGTGACATAATCTCACGCAATGATGGAGGTATATTTTGGGATTTTTCTTTGAATATTAATCTGAGAGGGGGTGCTGAGCGTGAACTCTCTCAGTTAATTGCTTTCCTTAATGAACACGCTAACGCTAGGGTTACAAGCGGGCCTAGCCGACCCGTTTGGCTACCCGATCCAGAGAAACCTTTTTCTGTCCATTCCATGTACAGGTACCTCGTGAAGAACAGATTCCCGGGAATCCCTAATTTCCCAGCCAAGTCTATTTGGAAGTCCATCATACCAAGCAAAGTATGCATTTTTCTGTGGCTAACTAACTGCTTTGAAGAAGATACAAACACTCGACAATCTCAAGAAAAAGGGCTGGTTCATCGCCAATAGATGCGTCCTATGCGAGAAGGATGAAGAATCAGCTGATCATATATTCATAAAGTGCGATTTTGGAAAAGATGTTTGGCAAAGATGCAGAGATGCTTGTCCAAAAATTGAAAATGTCAGAGAAGATATTACATCAACAATCAGTGAGTGGTATTCAGGTTCCCCTGACAGCCCGGATGAATGGATTAACTTCTGTGCTCTTCATGCTGTATGTTGGCAGACATGGCTTGAAAGAAACAGACGAATCTTCCAAGATGCAAGACGGGGATCAATAACCATAGCCCGAAGAGCTTTCAAATCCATGCTTGAATGGCCTATTGCAATGGGTAAAATCACTAAAGAAGAGGGACGCCAATGGTTCCACGAACAGAGGAGAAGAGTCCTCTCCACAACCAGCTGATTTTTCCCCCCTGTTTTTCTTTGAATCTGTTTGTGTCTTGCAACTCGCTTTCGGTTTTAGAGACTTGGAGCAGCTCATCTTCAGCTTGTTGAAGGTGCTGTTGTTTTTTTTTTATAGATAAGGGTGATATATGTTACTTTTTTTTTTGTTATTAGGTACTACTGAAGGGACTCGAACCTGGGACCTCCAGGTTCATGGCTAGTGGTATTACCACTAGACCAATCCCTTGTTCGTTGAAGGTGCTGTTGTTGTTGCTGTTGTTGTAGGTGTTTCTTCCTTGTTTCTTCACAGTAGGAATGGTCCGATCCATTTAACTGTGCCTTTCACTCTCTTTTGCTTTCCCGTTCTCAGTTTTTTCAGTTTCTTTTTCAGGCTGCTCAGCTCTCTTGAGCCCTGGTCTTGTATTTCTGTTACTTTGTTCCTTTTTTCTCATATTAAATTTTCACCATTATCAAAAAAAGGTGTAGCAGAAAATAACAGTATGTTTCTGAAGAATTCAAAAGATGACAAAGAAAGCACGTTCGGGTTGAAAGCAGAAACTACTGCAGTGTAGGATGGTGGGTGATTAGGGATTGCACCGTCCCTCCCCCTCTACAGAATGGTATCAGTAGGTCAATATTGAGTTTCCAAATGAGTCGAAGAAGGACGTTAAGGGTGTTTGTAAGAGCCATTTGGTCAGTAACTTGTTTTGCGCTAAAAAAAGTAGAATGAGTCATTGGTTCCAAGAAGTCATTTGACTCCTTATTTATTCACTACTTTCCAATTATAATTCTGCCTTTTTTTTTTCTCCATAAACCCAATACTAATCCTTCTCTATTTCATCTTTATAAACCTAGTACTTTCCAATTACGGGCAGTTTGTTTCATGGACATGAAAAATGAAGGTTTTGGTTGAAATCGGGATTTATAAAACAATGAGTTTATCTGGAATTGGTTCATTATGGACTTGAAGCAAACCATTGTTTGTTTGTTGGATTTCATTATGGACTTTGTTGAATTAGATTTTTTGAGTATGAAACATAATTTACCTTATTACTCCGTTTTAATTTTTAACAAGCACCGAGACGAATATAATCACCTAACCTACTGCATGCACCTAATTCTTCCTAATTATAATTTCACGGATCACAATAACCAAGATTAAAGCACACATGTTCTTATTTTTATCAAGAATCAGACGTAGAACAAGAAAAAATCCACCGACCTTTTTCTCAACAAGTCGATCACAAATTGTAGTGCTCGACAACTGCTTTCTTTATAACAAGATAAGTGTGTCATTCGATCGACTGTTTATCATGACGGTTGACCGTTTTCTCCAAGTGATGGTGACTTGGAAGTCACCATAGACATCCAAAATATGATTTCGTTTCTTACCCAAAAGAAAGTCTTAGTTATTTAAGCTACCAATATATTTTTGCGTTGTTTATATAGGGCAATAAATCAACTTTGATGCCATATGTTATATTTAGAATCACGAATTCACAATCATGGAAGCGAGTAATGCTTGACAACGTTGATTTTTAACATGATTGATAAGTAGGAGACGGTCTAAACTCTAAAGGACTATAGACAGAATTTCATATTGACAAAAAAGAAAGACACTCAATCAAACAAGTAAATTTAAAAAAGATAATCTGTTGATAAAAATGAATATATATATTGTTGATTGTATTATAAAGTAAATTGGTGCGAGAATCTTATTCCAATTTGTATTTATAACCTCAACAAATTCAATTGGGATTCAATTGGGATGCGTAGTCACCAATTCGCATATATAGGGTATAGATTTGGAAATAGTTTAGTGTAGTGTTTTGGATAACAATTTTAGAATAGCAATGTTTTAGTAAAAACCCATTTAAACTACAACTAGTTTTTTATCCGGCCTGTTGGCCGGGGAATTTCATTTTTATTATTAATATTAATTAATTTATCTTTATGCTTAATTTTTTGAATTTTATAGATATTTTATTTTCTCGTTTCATAAGTGAAGGTGGTATGCCTATATTAAAATTTCTTAATACTTAGTAGTTAGCACACTTACTTATGATGTTTTGATTCATAAATCATATTGTTGTGAAGGTTTGTCACGTTCCATTTAGTATCATATATTAATATTTTTCAACCAAGACACTCAAATTTATTATCTTATACAACATATATCAATACGTGATTCTCGAGTTTTGACACACTCTCAACAATTAATGAGTGTTCAGATTATTGTATAAATATACTTGATTACCTGATAAATTATGTCTATCCCGAATGAAACTTGGCACGCGTCGTACACCCTTATGATGATCAAATGCTGCAATCATTACTCATGTTCATTGTGGATGTTCATGAAGTCTCACTGTAGGATCTTATGATAAAATTTGTCTATCAAGACACTCAAATTTAGTGCAACCTTCCAAACCTTTCCTGACGGAGATATTGTCCGCTTTGGGCCTCGACCCTCACGGTTTTCGACTTGGGGTGCAATTCAAGGTGACTTCCCATAGGGTATCATATTATACCCTAACCTCTAATGGGTGATCCCCCAGTTCCTAAAATTCTAACCCAAACCATGAAATTTTGTTAATCTTAAAATGAAAATCAACGATAATTTCGATTAATCAGAATTGTTGATTTTCATTTCAAGATTAAATAAATCTTATGCTTTGGGATAGTGAATTGGGACTGAGGTTCACGCATTAGGGGTTAGGGTATAGTATCATGCACCAAACACCGGTTAATTCGTTGTCTAAATAACAATACTTAACAGACGTATTGTAAGGTAAGTGTATGCACAGGTGTATGCTAGCCTTTTAATATACATAGAGTTTAGTTTACTTTTAACACTAATCAATACCTTCGAACTCAACTCATTGGCTGAATAAAAAGAGTTTGTGGCTAAGGTAACTCGATATAAATACAAATTTCTTACTCTTACAAATTAAAATATTTTTATTTTGAAACTTTGATACCGGTAATTTTTTTACTGCCAAAATTTGTATGGAGTCAGACTCACAACCATATAACTAAATGAGTTCTTACAATTGTCTTACTAAACTCATCCTTGTTAAAGATTCATCATATTAACCAAATGCCTCGGTTTAGACTATTGTTACTATATTATTTATTTATATATATATCAAGTAACACAATGATAGATTTGTCTCTCAAGACATTTTAAACAACATTTTCCAACCCTTATTTAATTATTCCAGGGTCAGGGGTTGACGAAACGTGATCCTTAACGTACATTTTCCAACCCTTATTTAATTATTGCAAGATCATTAATGACTCGAGCTTGCTCAATGAACATGATCTAGAGCATTAATATATGATGTAAACTTAGGATAAATTATAAATTGTTGCACATGTGATTCCTAAGTTTTTCACTTGATCAGAATGAATAAGAAGATTTTTTGAGAAATTAATATTATTTTTTGGTCAAGTTTATAATTCAGATCTTTTTTTCTCTCTCTTTCAATCATTATATTTTGTTCTATCGACAAAATATTATCATTATTATTACTATCGATTAATACAAAATATTATTATTTATATGTGTTTGTTTAATTTTTCATCAAAATGTAGAAAATTTACTTGATAAGATTTAAGTAGATATTTTTAGTTTAAAAATATAATATAATTCACTCTCTCTTTTCATTTTTATATTGTGTTTAATTGAAATAAGGTTATTAATTATGTGTGTTTGTTTAAATTGTTCATAAAAATGTAACTTATTATTAAGTTTTAGGTAAAAAAGTATAAAACTTACTTAGTAAGATCTAATAATGTATTTTTGGGTTTAAGCAAATGTGATATATCATATATGTCACTCTTTAAACATTAGTCTACTGCAATGTACATTGGTATAATTCAAAAGCACAAAAAAAAGAATTATTGGATAAAAGAAAAAGAAATATTTAATGAAGAGAGATAACTTCATAAATATATTAATAATTCTTTTTTTGTTTATAAGAGAATTGTCTACGTTGGCAACTTGTGAGTTCTCCAAATGTGACAAAAAATTACATTTGAATTGCCATAATATTATGTATAGATTTTCACTTCTGTAACATAGTATGTTACAATTTTTTTGTAAAATTTCTTTCCTATATATAAATGATCCGATCCTCTATATTAGTGCGACTGTGCGAGTGAAAAGGAAGGTGGAAAAAGGCGAAGCAAACCATGGTGACGCAGGAAGTAAGCGAGTCCACCACCGTCAGGATCCTCTGCTCTAAAGCAGTAAGCAGCGGAGCCGAGCCGGGCCTCCATTGGCTAATCGGATCTCCATTTCTCCCGCCTTTCACCGTCGTTTCCGCCTTCAAATGCATTCACTTTCAGCCCAACACCAGTTCCCCGGATTTTGCTAGAGAATCGGGTACCTTATTCTTGTTTACCGCTCGTCTTCCTTCAAGAATTGATAAACCCTATAATTGCTTCTTGTTAACCTATCACTGAATTGAACGGACTAAACAGAGGATATTCGAACGCTGCTAGTCAAGGGTTTTGAAGTAATTGGAGCGTTGTTAGTTGGCAGCAGCTCGGATACTGAAAGTGCAGGCCGTGAAGCTCTTGATTTTGCCCGTAAACTGAGAAAGCTCCTCTCCGACGAGGGAGAAGCGAAATCGGCGAATTGGGAATTGATAGGCGCAGTTTCAGGATCAGCGAATGGCGATCTTCGGTTCATTGTATGCAAGAATGGGAACTCGACGAGGATTGAAGGTATCAATTCTGTTGCTTACGAAGATCACCCTGAGAATTTCGTTTGGGAGAGCGGTTGTCTCTTACGATGCGAGCTCCCGATCAAGTTGCCTTTTTATGTTCCAGTGGGCAACCAGTCTGGTAGGGTGCTCTCTTGGCTGTGATTGTATCAGATCTCTTTTTTAGGTTTCCTTTTCGTGTCTGGTGTCAATTTGGGTGGTATTATTTTCTCTCAGGCGCTGAGAAGATGTTTGGCAATGCAATTGAAGCAGTCATTGGTAAGTTCAAAGAACCACAGGCTGTATACTGCCTGGAAATGTTATGCAAGGACTCTGCAGAAGGGCCCGTGATTCTTCGTGCTGTGGACTTGGATTTTAAAGCAGAACTCTCTGTGGTGAAGTCTACGGGTGATGAATCATCGGAAGTTTCTGATTTGAAAGATTTGAAATGTGCGCATTTCTGTTCAAAGAGTAAATCCACCCCTTCAACTTTGTCAATAGAGGTAAAAACAGCAACAGATAGTTCATGTAAACTGTGATTTTTCCCTTCAGGAACGAAAAGATGCTGTCCTTTAGTTTGTAGTACACAAGTAGGCCGTTACATTGCTATGGCATTCTTCTCATAGGAAGTTTACTGCTTAGAATGCAGATACAATCCAAGTGAGTGTGCTACTTAATAAATCAGCAAAATCTCCAAAGGCCAGCGTACCAATTGCAGAATATTTTCCAGGTACTAGCTCAAATGTTTAGATTTTGATGGTACTTGCTAATTTACTTGGCAACCTTACCATTTGAATGGTGTCTTCACTTCTGAAAATTCCAGCTTTGGAAGAAACAAAACTTCTGGTTGCTGAGTTAAAGCTAGACGTTATCTGCTATGCGGCCAAAGATGTGCCGCTTCAAGTTGCTGTTTCGAAGCTGGTAGTCCCTGCTTTAGTTGACCAGTTGAATTCAATGAAGAGATTATTTGTTCCGAATCTTGTAGCACAGCATCCCCGGGTAAGACAATACCAGTAGTAAATACGCATGCAAGCCAGGTCTTCTTTGTTGTCATAGTAACTGAGATTTTCTTGTTCTTACAGCTGTATCCTTATCACTTTAATCCACCAGGGCTGTTGCATCCAATAACTGTTATCTATGAACTCAATTATGGGGAGGAAGAAATGAAGCAAGGTAATCATTGAGCTGTACCATGAAATTTTCTGTTCAGCTTTTGGTCATTCTATATTTGGGTTTACTGGAAGAAGGTTTCTGCAGTGGACGTCAGAAAATCTTTGCACTTGAGATTGGGATTACCTGTTGATCGTCCTCTCCTAAGAATCGCCAATGCCCTGAATCTCTCTTCGCTGAAAGATAATCCTGCGAGAAACTATGGGCGGAAAGGTATCTCTTAGATTTACATCAGAAGCATCTTCCATTTTGCTTTTTTTTTTATTTCTTTTGTCTTTACTTCAGAAATTTGAATCTTGACTATCAGGCACCAGTATGCTCAAGGATGTACACATTGGGATTAATACTAGTGGAGGTTTGTTACTTTTATCAGTGGTGTGCGTGATTTGTACTTTATTGCAGCTTGTTGACAGTTTCATTAAACAATGATCTTCTTGCAGTCTCTGGAGGTGTCACCTCTCTTGTTCAGGGTTCTTATGAATACTATCACTATCTTCAGGATGGCTTTGATGACTCGGTAAGTATACTGTTTCCAGTTTATCCTTTTAGGAACATTGGCTCTTTGCTGACCAATAGTTAGTTGTTAAATGGTTTAACTCTTTCACGGTAATAGGGTGATAGCTAGTCTAAATAATGGTTCTTGAAAGCTCTCATTTCTTAAAGGAGTGAGTATATTTATAGGCTAAAAGGTAGTTTCTTAAACAGGATATAGTTATTAGTCCCTGAGAAGTCCTTGAGATAGATTATGGTTTCTGTTGCATGACAAGCTTTGTGCCATAAAATTGAACAGTTTGTTCTATAGTGAGCAATGCTGAGGCATCAGTGTTCATAGGGTTGCATTTTATTCTTAAGTGATACTCCTCGAAACCTGGTCTTTAATCTGATCACTAGTAAGTTTGAGTTCATGTTCACAGTTTTATCCATAAGTGGTACCTTAAAACAGTATATGATCCTCATGTGAAATGTTCAGGGCTGGGGTTGTGCCTACCGCTCTCTGCAGACTATTATCTCGTGGTTCAAACTTCAGCATTATACAGCCGTTGATGTCCCTTCTCATAGGTATAAACTAGTTCTAGTAACCATTTAGTGTCTGTTTCAAATTTCACCTTTGTCCTGTCCTCCGACTTAAAATAACGATTATGGTTCCTCGACCTCAAAGAATTGATGCTCACACTTTGGGATTGGCAGAGAAATACAACAAGCACTCGTCGAAATTGGTGACAAAGAGCCCCCTTTTGTGGGATCCCGAGATTGGATTGGTGCCATCGAGTTGAGCTTTGTCTTGGATAAGCTTCTTGGTGTAAGTATACATGCCACTGGGGGTCACCCTGGGTTCTCATCAGGATAAATAAGACAATCGAAGTTGAAATGCGTTCTTCTTCCGTTGGATAAGTACTTTCCCATCTGATTTTTCCTGATTCAGCGAGTAATTAAACTTCTTAATGAACAGGTAAGTTGCAAAATCATGAACGTCAGATCAGGAGCCGAGCTTCCTGAAAAGTGTAGAGAGCTGGCACTTCACTTCGAGAATCAAGGCACACCGGTTATGATCGGTACGTAAAACATTCTATGGCCACAGAAACGAAATAGTTGGATTCACTTCGTCGCGAGAGAGAGTAACTGTGAGTGAGTTGTTTTGGCCGGTGGTTGGTGCAGGAGGAGGTGTTCTTGCATACACCCTGCTGGGAGTGGACTACAACGAGGGAACTGGGGACTGCGCATTTCTGATACTGGATCCTCATTACACAGGGAACGACGAGCACAAAAAGATAGTGAATGGGGGATGGTGCGGTTGGAAGAAAGCTGTTGATAGCAAAGGAAAGAATTTCTTCTTGCACGATAAATTCTACAATCTCCTGCTCCCGCAGCGCCCCAACATGGTTTAGCTTTTCCTGATTTTGATTACCGGACCCGAAGTGAAGATTTCCGTTGCTAATTAGCGCGATCACATTCAGCTGCTCTGTTTTGTGGAAACTAAATATAGATCTTGTTCATGGCAGATATGTTTTCCCCCCTTTGTTCTTTTCATTTTGTCTGGGTTGAATTTGCTTTGAATACTACTGTGGGTGGTGAAATGGCATCGGCTAACGATGTATCATAGCTAGGGCTGTCAAAATGGGTTTGGTGCTGTTAAGAAAACCGATAAGCTTTTTCTAATTGGATACAGTGTTGTGAGAGAGAGAAACGATCGAATTTTTATTTCACCAAAAAAATAAGTTTACACTGTTCAACATTACATTATATATTAGTTCTATTCTACTTAATTACAAAACAGTACATAAAGTAAACAAATATTACAGTTTGGTCATATATCTACTCTATACACTGACACCCTCCCTCAAGCTGGAGCGTGTATGTCAAGAGTGCCCAATTTGGACACAAGACCTGAAAACACAACAGTAGGCAAGGATTTTGTAAATAAGTCAGCAATCTGGTTAATGGTAGAAACATGTAACAGTTTAATGAGACCAGAAGCAAGCTTATCACGGGTTAAGTGACAATCTAACTCAATGTGCTTAGTGCGCTCATGAGCAACAGGATTCTCAGCAATTCTTATAGCAGATTGGCTATCAGAAAACATGGCAGTAGGTTTATTAAAAGACAAGTCTAAATCAGCAAACAAATAATGTAACCACTGGATTTCACAAGTTAAATCAGCCATGGCTCGATACTCAGCCTCGGTTGATGATCGAGAAATGGTTTGCTGCTTCTTGGAACGCCATGAAATCAAGGAGCTGCCTAAAAAGACACAATACCCGGTTGTGGATCTCCTGGAATCAGGACAACTTGCCCAATCGCTGTCAGAAAAAGCCTTAAGAGAGATCAGTTTGTGGAAAAAAAAATAGACCACGCCCAGGTGAGCCTTTCAAATAATGAAGTACTCTGTGAGCTGCTGCCAAATGAACATCAGTTGGTGCACTCATGAACTGGGTCAATTGGTGGACAGCAAACGCAATATCAGGTCGAGTATTACATAAGTATAATAAGCGACCAACTAATCTCCTATAAACAGCAGGATCATCCAAAGGAACACCAGATTTAATAGAAAGGCGAACACCAGGATTACAAGGAGTGGCAACAGGTTTGGCTCCAAGTAAACCAGAATCTTTTAACAAATCTAACACATACTTACGCTGACAGATGGAGATGCCTGTTTCATTTCTAGCTATTTCAAGTCCTAGGAAATATTTAAGATTGCCAAGATCTTTAATTTTAAAGGCATCATCTAACTTCTGTTTGAGAGACTCGATTTCACTAAGGAAATCACCAGCCATTATAATGTCGTCAACATACACCAAAACAACAAGAAACTTACCATCTTGATGTTTTGTAAACAGTGAATAATCAGCTTTGGATTGAACATAACCAGCTTGTAAAAGGAATTCAGTTAGTTTATGATTCCATTGTCTACTAGCTTGCTTTAAACCATAAAGAGATTTATTTAGTTTACAAACAAGATTAGAAGTATCACCAGGCAGTTTTAAACCTAAAGGAAGCTTCATATAAACATCATCAACTAAATCTCCATGAAGGAAGGCATTATTTACATCAAGCTGATGTAAATGCCAACCTTTAATGGAAGCAAGAGCAAGTAAAGACCGGACAGTAGTTAACTTAGCAACAGGAGAGAAAGTATCCAAGTAATCTATGCCTGGTGTTTGAGTATATCCTTTGGCGACAAGTCGAGCTTTTTCTCGCTCAACTGTACCATTGGAATGAAATTTTACCTTGTAAACCCATTTGTTGCCAATGGGTTTGACATCCGGTGGTTTTGGTACGACTGTGAAGGTGTTTGTGCGAAGCAGAGGATCTATTTCCAGATCCATAGCTGCATTCCACTTGTCATGTTGGGATGCTTCTTTGTATGTTTTGGGAACAAAAACTGTAGAAACAGCTAAGGCAAACTTGGAATGATGGTCAACAAGTTTATTAGTAGATAAAACAGAAGACAAGGGATAGGAAATGTTTGAATCAATCACTGAATTACAAATGTAGTCACGGAATTTAAGAGGTTGCTGCCTCTTTCGTGTGGGACGAGGGTCTGGTTCATCATCAAAGGATGGAGGATACTCAGGAGAAGCTACTCCATCATCATCATTTGAAGAATCAGAAAGGGGAGAAGGGGTAGGAGAGATATGTAGGTCGGGTGCCGAACCGGTAGATGTCTCTGGATTATCACTAACATCATGAGATGCAATGGTATCCATTGAAGAGACAGAGATGACAGGGAAAACAAAATCTGAGGAAACATGAGAAAAATCTTTGGAATAGAAGGGAAAGATCTTTTCATGAAAAACCACATCACGAGACTCACACAAAGACTCTGTAACCAAATTGTAGAGTTTGTAACCTTTAGTTGCAAAAGGGAAGCCTAGGAAAACACAAGGGTGTGCTCTAGGATCAAATTTAGGACGATTATGTGCTAAAGTAGACATGTAAGCTAAACAACCAAAGACACAAAAGGTTGAATAATCAGGAACAGAGTGATGTAACAACTCATATGGAGACTTATTATCTAAGACAGGAGTAGGCAGTCTATTTATCAAAAAGGTAGCATGTCAGCATGACTCCAAAATTTGGAAGGAAGAAAAGACTGGAATAACAGAGCGCGAGCAACAGCAATAATGTGCTGCTGCTTACGCTCCACCCGACCGTTTTGTTGTGAGGATGCAACACATGTGGTTTGATGCACTATTCCTAAAGAGTTATAGAATGCAGGCATGTGAAATTCAAGACCATTATCAGAACGAATAACTTTAGGCTTAAGATTGTACTGAGTTTGAACATGACTAATAAAGAAAATTAATGAGTCACGAGCTTCAGATTTCTTATGCATCAAGTAAACCCAAGTATTGCGTGAGAAATCATCAACAATTGTTAAGAAATACCGATAACCATCAATAGATGTAACACCATATGGACCCCATATGTCTATATGAATCAAGTCAAACAAGGCAAGAGAGTGAGATTCACTTACCATGAATGGCAAACGTTTCTGTTTGGCCATGGGACAAACAGTACAGTGCTTAGTTCTATCAGAAAGAACAGTAGAGTCTTTAGACATAATAGTGTTCAAAGGATTACAAGAAGCATGTCCAAGCCTATAGTGACTAATGTCAATGTCATGAATGGTAGTATAAAAAAACAACAGAAAACAACTGGATTCTGGTGTGGAAGCAGTGATTGGGGCAGGAAGAGAGCTGTTGAAGGTAGGTGTGAAGCAATAAAACCCACCAGACTCTCTAGTTGTACCAATCAGCTTGCGGGAGACCAGATCCTGGATAATGCAGTGATTATGAAAGAACGTCAAAGAGCATGCTGTGTCTTTCGTTAATCTACTGACAGAAATTAAGTTGAATCCAAACAAAGGAATATGAAGCACATTCCTAAGTACTAGCGAATCAGACAAGCAAACAGAACCAATGTGAGTAACATGCACTTTTGCACCATTAGGAAGAGATACATTCACATCATTAACAGCAGAGTAGTGACTAAAAAGATCCAAGCTGGAAATGACATGATCAGATGCCCCACTGTCTATGACCCAAGAAATCTCAGTTTTAGGCAAATGACCACTAGCTAGCACATACTTACCTCCAGAAGAGGAAGGTGCAGCAGAGTCAGAAGAGGAAGCACCTCCAGTTGTAAATGCATTGGCCACTGGGACATGTGTAACAGGAGCAGAAGGCTGACTCGTGGAAAACTGCTGAGCAACTAGAGCTCGATACTGCTGCTGAGTGAGAACAACTGAATCAGAGGCCTGACCCCCGTTCTCAAGAGAAACAGAAGCATCAGTAGACATAGACTCACTAATTACAGCATTAACCCTAGATTTTCCTTTGTAACCAGGGGATAACCATGCTTCTTGAAGCATTTATCAACAGTATGACCATTCAATCCACAGAAAGTGCAAACAGGACGTTTGGACTGATTATGACTCTTAAACCGATTGTTCTGAACAGCACATGCTAAAGGATTGGCACTAGCAGTAGTAGACACCCTATTCTGACGCTCAAACTGAAAAACCGTGTAAAAAACCTTGTTGATTGGAGGAAGAGGATCCATCAACAAGATCGAGGAACGAACAGACTCAAAATCCTCACCAAGACCCCTCAAGAACCTAATAATCTGATCAGATCTCGCATACTCAGCACAAGAACACTTAGGGGGACATGCACAGGACCTAATCGGACAATATGTCATCAACTCATCCCAAAGAACCCTAAGTTTAGTGAAGACTTCACTCACAGACATACTGCCCTGCTTGAGTGCGAAAACCTCGTCTTGAAGGTCGGCGATGCGAACAAGATCGGCGATGCTGAAGCGCTCCCAGAGATCTCTCCAGACTTCGACTGCGGAATCAAGCCAGAGGACGCTCTGACCGATGTCTGGAGCCAAAGAGCGAAGAATCCAGCCGAGCACCATCGTATCGCACTGCTGCCAAGCGGTGTAGAGAGGATCACCCGGCGGCGGCGGCGGAACGGCTGGATCGATGAAAGCGAGTTTGTTCTTCGACAGAAGACCGAAGCGCATGGATCTCGCCCATGAATGGTAGTTCGGCCCGGTGAGCACGATTGACACGAGCTGCGTCGTCGAGGAGTCACCGAAGCTGATGTAGTAGGGGTGATTCGGCGCAAGCGCCGCTGCGAGAGGAAGAGGCGGCAGGAACGACGAAGACGCCATCGAAGGAGGTCTCGAGAACTGAAACCCTATATGAGGGAAGCGGAAGCGAAAAGAAAGAAGTCAGAGAAAGTGCTCTGATACCATGTTGTGAGAGAGAGAAACGATCGAATTTTTATTTCACCAAAAAAATAAGTTTACCCTGTTCAACATTACATTATATATTAGTTCTATTCTACTTAATTACAAAACAGTACATAAAGTAAACAAATATTACAGTTTGGTCCTATATCTACTCTATACACTAACATACAGAAGGGAGAGGAACTTATGTAGTACATATGACGAAGTGGGTTTGGTTGGTTAGCCATCGACGATGGCGAATAATAGTACAGAGCGTCGGGTCGACCGAAGTTGAAGATGAGAAGCATCGAGTTGCAAACGTTTGAATGTCGGGGTAGGGGAGAAGTGATTGCAATTTAGAACGCTATGTTGACCCCTTTTTATATATAATTCCAATAGAAGGACGCATGTGTAGAATGAGTTGTTGGCAGGAACTAGTCGAACATAAGGAGGGAGTCGTTTTGAAACATTTTAATGCATTTGTTTATTTTTATTTTTAATCATCAAACAATCTAAATTAATTATTTTTATTTCAATTAATTGTGCGTATCCGGCGTTCAAATATATTTGAACGCCTAATAGTCTGCTAAAATCTAAGCAAGACATTTTATCATTGTCTAGCCCCTAGGCGTACACGAAATTATGCGTCGAACCTTATCTAATACTATTTGATAGTCTGATACGCGTGATAGTCGGATTGGGGCTATTTTGGAGGAGATTCTGCATGTTTTTAGGATTTATCCGGGTTTCAATGTTCGATTTGTAGGTCGGGGTAGCAATAAGGTAGCTCATAGTGTAGCTAGACAGGCCCTGTCTTTGTTCCCGACTACATGTCGTTATTTTGACTTTCAGACCTAGCTAAATTCCAGGATGTAATTATCGATTTGATTATATCAATATATGATTATCTTTTGTAAAAAAAAAAAATACTATTTGATAGTCAACCAAAAGAGTAAAGGTAAATTGCCTTTCTATCCACATCAGCACTAATTAGACCCATTCCGTGATAGACTTGAATCACTTGATTGACTTGCAAAATAGTTGAGGGACTCGATTGTCAACATGAAGAAGTTGAGGGACTTAGTGGGCAATGGCCAGGTCTAGCCGGAGGAAACTTGAGCTGGACTGAAGCTCAAAAGCGAGTAGAAGCTCACTGAGCATTGTGATTTCTGAAGCTATGGCTGCCGCGGCCTCGTTATTTTCCCGGCAAGCCCCTTCTTTCTCTTCTTCTACTCTTCCTTTGTTCCCCGCCAATCCGAAATCTCCCGCTTCCAACTTTTCAATTGTTACCAAACCATTGCGGCCGCCCTTCTCCCTGTTCTGCGCACCTCCGCCGTCCCCTTCTCACCCTTATCCGGCAATCTTCCTTCCATTTCTCGAAGAAGAAGAAGCCGCCGCAGCAGCAGCAGCTGCCGCAGCGGAATTAGACCAACCTGATGAAGATGCCGACGAGGAGGCCGAGGAAGAAGAAGAGAAAAATCAGCTGGACCTCTCCGACCCAATCGTTCGATTCTTTAAGTCCCGCCCTCCCACCAAAGACCCACCTGTCCCCGGCCGATTCACCCTTCAGAGCAACCGCCGCACCCAGTGGCGTCTCGCTCCGGACTTCGACTCCGACGACGATGAAGACCCCGAAACCGCCTCCGCCGTGGGAGAAACGCAGCCGGTGGGCGGTACTAGTAATTGCTCCGATTCAAGTCTGCTTCCGGAGGGAATCGTCGGAGAGATACTGCGAATTGCGAGGAATTTGCCTGTGAACACGACGCTGGGGGAGCAATTGGATGGATACCAGGACAAAATCAGCGAGAAACAGGGCGAGGAGCTATTGCAGCTACTGAGCGAAGAGGAAGGCATGGTGATGAGTTGCTTGTACTTCTTCGAGTGGATGGGTTTGCAGGAGCCGTCACTCGTCACCCCTCGTGCTTACACCATTCTCTTCCCTCTTTTAGGAAGAGCTGCCATGGCTGACAGATTGATGATCCTCTTCAATAACTTGCCTCAAACCAAACCATTCAGGGACGTCCATGTTTACAATTCTGCCATTTCCGGGCTTCTCTGCTGCGGCAGGTATGAAAGTTGGTTTCTTTCCCCACATTTCCCATTGCATATTCATGACATTCCCGATTCGAATTAGGGTTTTAGGGTTCTAATTGGCTGCTTCTCCCCAGGTATGATGATGCTTGCAAGGTGTTTGAGAAAATGGAGGAAAATAACATCCGACCTGATCATATCACTTGCTCGATAATGATCACAATAATGAGAAAAAGAGGGTGTAGTTCCAAGGAAGCATGGGGCTTCTTTCAAAAAATGAACAGGAAAGGAGTGAAATGGAGTACAGAAGTTCTCGGCGCTCTAATCAAATCTTTCTGCGATGAAGGTCTGAAGGAGGAAGCTCTCATCATACAATCACAGATGGAGAAGAAAGGGGTTCCTTCCAACGCAATTGTGTACAACACGTTGATGGACGCTTATGCTAAATCCAACCAAGTCGAAGAAGCTGAAGGCCTCTTAGCCGAGATGAAAGCCAAAGGTGTTAAGCCGACTTCTGCCAGTTTCAACGTTCTAATGGATGCATACAGCCGAAGAATGCAGCCTGACATTGTTGAAAACTTACTGCAAGAGATGCAGGACGAGGGTTTAAAGCCCGATGCTAAATCGTTCACTTGCCTAATTAGCGCATACGGGAGGCAGAAGAAGATGAGTGATGTGGCTGCAGATGCATTTCTCAGAATGAAGAAATTCGGCATTAAACCCACTTCACATTCTTACACAGCTCTCATCCATGCATATTCAGTCAGCGGCTGGCACGAGAAAGCTTACACCGCGTTTGAGAACATGCGGAGCGAAGGAGTGAAACCTGCTGTAGAGACTTACACGGCTTTGCTGGATGCATTTAGACGTGCTGGCGACACTGAAACCTTGATGAAGATCTGGAAACAAATGAGGAGCGAGAAAGTGCAAGGGACGCGTGTCACATTCAACATTGTTCTCGACGGTTTTGCGAAACAGGGTTGTTATCTGGAAGCGAGGGATGCGATTCATGAGTTCGGGAAGCTGGGATTCACACCAACAGTGATGACCTACAACATGCTGATGAATGCGTATGCACGAGGCGGGCAGCACTCGAAGCTGCCACAACTGTTGAAGGATATGTCGGCTCTTAACTTGAAGCCTGATTCAGTTACGTACTTGACTATGATATATGCGTATGTTCGAGTGCGTGATTTCAAGAGGGCTTTCTTCTACCACAAGCAAATGGTGAAGAGTGGTCAGTTGCCTGCTGATGACAAGTCGTATCAGAAGCTTAGGAGGATATTGGATGTGAAAGCTGCGATAAAGAATAGGAAGGATCGAAGTGCTATCCTTGGTATAATTAATAGCACGGTTGGTTTGAAACCTAAGAAGAAAAGGAAGAAGGATGAGTTTTGGAAGACCAAAAGAAAGCATCCTCTTGATCGAAATCCACGGATGGATTGAACTTTGAACTTCCTGTGATACTTTGAAATTCTGTAGCATTGTATGAAGCTGTACGAAAATGGACAACCCACATTATCCAAGTTGTTTTGAGCTTCAGATAGAAACTGCCATAAGGACGAACAATTGGAGAATGAACATCAGTGATTGATACAACATTACCACTACCAGTAGCGCGATGTAACTACAGTTGCAAAATGCCTTCAACCTGGTTTTGTTGTCCGATCACTGGAAATCTTTAAAAGAGCGTCGTTTGATTCTGAATAGCCTCACATGCATCATCTTCTTCGGTGTATCCCTTTCGAGCACTGTGTAATCGTACCATAAGGAGAAATACACCCAGGTTACTACTACTTTATTTTATTAATCTATAACTAGCACCACAAATAATGCGGATTTAAGAATTAATAACTAGCGTCACAAATAACTGTTATCGAGCTTAAATACAGTGAAATTTTGAAATGGAAACAGTGATGTAGAGTCTTATTTTCCCCATAAGAGGAGCTTACATAACAAAAATCGAAAGAAGATGACCTTAAGATAGACAACTAGGAGGCACGTCGTCATAGTAAATGGACAACTCGATTACCAGGACGAGGAGCAAAGCGCTAAAGGAAATACATGAGTCGAATGAAGATCAGAAAAGGTGATAGTCTGCTTGGAGCGAACAACAACCCGCACAACAGCAACCCATGGAGCGGATTGGTTTTGAATCATAGAATCACCAGCTTAACTTAACTTGAGGAATGAAGATACTATTTTCCTATCAGCTTCTGCTCAGCAAGGGGAGATTGTCAGCCACTAGCCGTTTTTTTAATTTATCATTGGATAACCGGCTTGGTAAGGTTGGAACCATAACAAGTCATCCCTAGGAATGCTGCTGCATGAACTCAATGCCACGACTCACAACCACAGTGCTTCCCAACAAGGTCCAACACTTACAAGTGCCAAGGCCTGCCGGGACAGTTCTCTTAAAGCTACACAATTTCACTTCTGCTTCTTGGTGAGGAAGAAAAACAATGCCTGCAACCACGAAGAAAAAAGATCTGGTTATGTCAAGAACTCATCCGTATCGATTAACTATAGCCAAAACCGATTCCTGGAGAGCAAGTCTATCTTCTTATTGCTGGCATAATGTACCCTGTCTTGAAAATTGGTTAACCTACTAGCCTTAGGGGCTTCAGAAGCATATAGAGCTATTATGAGTAGCTCCCCAGATAGAGAATGAAGGAAAATGAACACTCATCCAGGTTACCACTTCTTTGCTTGGTAAAGTAGATAGGTCGGACAAGTAGAGAAATGTTCCATAGGCAAAATATATCTAGACTCTTTCCAACTCAGACCAACAAAAAGCATCCAACTTGTAAAGCTTGATGAGCGACCAGCACCTTTAAAATACAAAAGATGCCCCATGTCACCTAATGCTGGTCACTTAAGGACCATACACAGTAACAAAACAACTAACAATAGCTGCTCAATCATTGCTCCTAATTACTCACACAATCTCTAGTGTCGAGGACCAAATAGAACCATAGTGGTTCAATCCAGAAGTTGAACTGGGAAAGTATAGAGAACTCACTTGGAAGGCTCTTGCATCGTCCAAAAGCCTTATTGAAATTACAGTTCCTGCTTTTGAACCAACCACCCAGAGAAATGCAAAGAGCCCAGCGGTCGACACCATCCTTATACTCTATAGTCAAGTAAAGAGAGTTATTGAATTTGTCCCGAGTTTTGGAACTCTAGTTCTCCTTAGCACCATCTGCTATATGTTGCTGACCCAATCCCAGTAGGCAGCTATGGAAATCTAGCTCTTCTCTCATGGGTGGCTGCAGCATTAAAGTCGATGCAATGTATGGATGCCACAAGTATCTCCAGCGACTAGAAAGGACGCTAGTGGCGGCTGCCTGTTTAAGTGTCAGGAAAGACAGTATATGACACAGGATCTCATCGTGCAGTTCACTGATCCTGTCACTCGGTTCATCAGATCTCTTGAGACAGCGCTGTGAGAGAAATAATGAACGGAATCAAGGCTCAAGAGTATCTGTCTGAAAATATGAACCCTAGGTCACCAATTGGAGCTACAAAATTACGAGAAATGTATATAAGGTGACGGGAAGTTCAAAGTTCCCACCACAATGATGCAAGCTAAAAAGGATTGAGCTTCCGGAGATATCAACAAAGGCAGAGTTACCCATTAAATCGAAATTGAAGATCGAGTAGCCATTCACAGATTGACCAACCATAACCGCAGATTCGAGATCAAACAAGACGCAATGATCAAATGAAAAGGCCGATAGTTTTGGTGCAACAATAATTGAAAGCAGAAATGAAGGCGTAAAATCTAACTGGCTAAGAAAGTTCACCTGGTGTTGTGAAGCGGCGGCGGCAGCTGCCCGGGCCCTTTCCGTCATTGGAATATGAGAGACCGTCGGAAAGTGAATTTTCGCACGCGAAAGCGAATTCTATCAGCGAACATGCGTACCTTGTGCGAGCGGTGGAGCTTGATTTTGGTCGGAGAGTAGAGATGCTCGGCGGAGGCGTGAATGTTATGCAGCCGCGGTCATTTGCAAATACAGGTAGCAAGTAGCAATTGAAGAGGCAGCGAAGGTGAAGGTGAAGGTGAAGGTGAAGGCGAAAAGAAGAAGAAAAGGAGTTCAGCAAGCTGCGGTGAGAAATAATTGGATTGTGAACGGTGGACGAGGACACCTGGAAGTACGAGAGCGCACGGCGGCGGTGACCGGTGAGTCTTAGCGTAGCGAGCAGTTTAAAGTGGAGATGGTTAAAAATAGAGAAAGGTGAGAAGAGATGGACAATGACTTATCGACTAGTAGTCTTATTCTAGATAAAATTCATGCGCACCTTGACTAATTGGGATAAGATTAGATGGTTCGATTTTTGGGGAAAAAATCCAAAAGTACCATTGTTTAAAAAAAAATTTCCAAAAATATCACCCAAACCCAAAAAATTCCAAAAATACCACCCTTTCTTCATCTTTTACTTATAGGGTATGACCTACAAAATACCAGTTGAAGTATGTGAAGTCGATGCATGCTTATTGGTCCGATCGAAAATTAGCCTTCAGGTTGAACTTAAAGTGAAAGATGATTGTGATTCTGGTGTTTTTATTTATGAAGCTATACTTCCATATTGATGTTGGCACTATCTCGAACGAAGAACAGTTTGAGAGTTCGATTCGATTTCATCCTCAACTTGAAAGCATTTAAAGGTAAGAAATTTCGATTCTTGGTGAAAGTTGTCCATAATTTCTATAAACCTACTGCAATGCGCTTTGTGGTTCAAAATCAAGTATTTCTAACGACAAACATATTGTAAATAGTCTTAAGTTTATTATTCACAAGGCATTTTGTGAATTTGTTAAAGTTTGATCGATCATAAATTTTTCGTCAGTTGTCTGATTGCCACAAACTAGGTGCATCTTGGAGGGGATTTGATTCTTAAATGTGCTATGTAGAAAAGATTATGCTAAAATGTCATCTTTCAAGTTTGTTTTATTGAAGGTTGTTTGTTGGGATGTTTGGATGGGTAGGAGGTTAAACGATGATTTACAATCTTTGTTCTGTTCTATAATTATTTACACGTGGTGGACTTTGCCAATTCAAACAATTTATGTTTTTTGGCTGTGGATTGCAATTTGCAAGTAACTGCATATGTTCAGTATCAATTCAAAAAGAATATGCATGTTATTGGGCTCTAACAACTTTTGTTGGTATTTCTTTTGGATTCTCTATGTTATTGATATGGGGTTTAGATATTAAAGGCTCCCAATCGAGGTTAAAAAGTATACGAGATTTGGTTTTTGCAGGAGAGGAAATAAATTTAGTTGCTACAAATTCGGAGGAAACCCGCAACACTAATTCAAGTCATGAAGGAGTATTTATAAATTAAAGGCAGAAAAGAAAATATTTCATTGACTCTGGGATGGCAAAATTACCCACCCATGGTGGGTAATTATACCCAAATCCAAGTAGACCCATTGATAATGGGTTGGGTATGGGTGAAGTGCATATGGGTTTGGGGGTTTGTAGATGGGTTTGGGTAAGGTATGAATATTGTTTCCATAATCTAAATGGGTATGGGTTGGATATGGATATCCATTTACTTGAGGGTGTTTTAACTAAACATGCAAAAATTGGACCTATTTGTAAAACTTGAAAAGTTTAGGTACCAAAATGTAAGACCAAAAAAATTTAGGTACCAAAACATAATTTTCCATCGATATTTTGAGGACTTATATGCAAAAAAAATTAAATTTAGGTACTAAATATGCATATCTATTAAATTTAGATACCAAACTGTAAATTATATTTGGCCATGGATACAAACCCAAATCCATTTGTTATAAACCCAACCCAACCCAAAGTAAATGGGTATGGGTACAAACCCATCAAACTCTACCCATATCCATCTATTTGGATTTCATACCCAACCCAATTAGGTTGGATAGTAAAAACCCATGGGTATGGGCAAAATTGCCATCCCTACTTAGAATGAGTAGTACTGTTGGAACTAATGCAACTAAGGTCCATATTATGAGCGGTATCTTTAGTAATTTGTGAATCGTAGGGCTTATAGAAAATTCGGACTTTTAAATTGTAAATGGTTTCAGCTTATTGTTTTTATTGTCCTTCTCTAAGTACAATCGGAATTTCAGGTTGAAAATAGTATGCATTTGTGTGGGTGATCAACAGCAGCAACTTGCATTTATGAGTTATGATAGCAGCATCTTGCATTTTGGTGAATAACAACAGTAGCTATATTTTTATGAATAACATTGCATTTATATTTTTATGACCACAACAATAGGTAAAAATTCAGTTTATAATCTTTATATATAGTGAATAAAAACAGTAGCTAAACTTCACCGGCCAAAGGCCGGGCCCAATTGCTAGTTCTAGATAAAATTCATGCGCACCTTGACTAATTGGGATAAGATTAGATGGTTCGATTTTTGGGGAAAAAATCCAAAAGTACCATTGTTTAAAACAAAATTTCCAAAAATATCACCCAAACCCAAAAAATTCCAAAAATACCACCCTTTTTCAAAAACCGCCACCCCACCCAGCGGTTTGGTCGAAAACCGCTTGTCGGGGGCGCGGTTTTGGACCAAACCGCGGGCCTAGGGGGCGGTTATAAAAAAAAAAAAATTGGACCAAAACCGTCACCCCAACCAGCGGTTTGGTCCAAAATTTCGGTCGAAACTTCAAACGAACGTAACTTTGCACTCGGGTATCCGATCGTAGCGATTTATTTTTTCATTTCGCATAACTTTTAAAGATCTAAAACTTTTACTAGGATGAAATTTTCAAAACAGGAACTATTTGTAGATATACGGGACCTTGAGAATAACTTTACCTTTACTTTTCAGAAATCCATGTACATTTTGAAATTATGATTATATTAAAAGTTGTAGATCTTGAAAAGTTATGCGGAATAAAAAAAAATTCATAACATTTGGAGTTTGGAGCACAAAGTTATGGCCGCCCAAAGTTTGACGAAAGGCGAGACCCGGCGGTTTGCGGCTTGCAAGATCTCAAAAAGTTTGCGGCCTCCATTTTTTGAATCCGAATAAATTTTTGAGATCTTGCAAGTCTCAAATAGTCGGGTTCCGTCTTCGTCTCGAAAAAACGTCATTTGTCACCCCGAACGACCTTTTTTTATTTCGTCAAACATTGGGCGGCCATAACTTTGTGCTCCAAAATCCGAATGTCATGAATTTTTTTTTATTCCTCATAACTTTTCAAGATCTACAACTTTTAATATAATCATAATTTAAAAATGTACATGGATTTCTGAAAAGTAAAGGTAAAGTTATTCTCAAGGTCCCGTATATCCACAAATAGTTCCTGTTTTGAAAATTTCATCCTAGTAAAAGTTGTAGATCTTGAAAAGTTATGCAAAATGAAAAAAAAATCGCCGCGATCGGATACCCGAGTGCAAAGTTACGTTCGTTTGAAGTTTCGACCGAACTTTTGGACCAAACCGCTGGTTGGGGTGGCGGTTTTGGGCCAAACCGCCACCCCACCCAGCGGTTTTGGTCCAAATTTTTTTTTTTTTTTTATAACCGCCCCCTAGGCCCACGGTTTGGTCCAAAACCGCGCCCCCGACAAGCGGTTTTCGACCAAACCGCTGGGTGGGGTGGCGGTTTTTGAAAAATGGTGGTATTTTTGGAATTTTTTGAGATTGGGTGGTATTTTTGGAATTTTTTTTTAAACAGTGGTACTTTTGGATTTTTTCCGATTTTTGGTGGATTGTTGAAATGAATAAGGGGTTGTCTTGAGAACGAGATTTTGTGCGTGGATTCATTGAATCCTAGATTTTGTAGAAAGTTATGTTTTTTTGTTGATTTTATATTGTTGATTTTAGATTTAGAGATTTAAAATCTCTAAAATCTGCGGATATCAAATCTCTCATAATCTGAGAGATTCTATATATTGATTCGTGAGATTTTTCCCCCTAATTTTTATTTATTTATTTATCATATTAAATATATTTATCAACAAATTTTTTAATATTTATCGAACCATTCTGATTTTTTATTACGGATAAACATTTATTTAATATAAAATTAATTTTTTTATTTTCTTTGATTGCTAACAATCACAGTTACCAAACAATAAACATTTTAAAATCTATTTTCAACAATCCAAAGAGTTAAAATCTTTAGATTGTTGACAATTTAAATTCATATTCTCCAAACGACCCCTAAGTGTCAATGAGGTTTAAGGGCGGGTTCTGTTTCATTTTGAATTTTTTTAGAAGGAGTTAAGTTGTAGATTTTTTTTCCCGAACTTCAAGAGAGTTCGAACGACGGTTAGGATTTCAGTGTTAACTCTGGATACCCATCCGAAGGGCTTCGTATTGTGTTGCTGGTCTGCCTTCTGCTTCCGACAAGTGAGAGATAGGGGGTGTGCTGCTATCCTTGTGAGCACATATCATGGCAGAGATTGAAGGAGGGTCTGAAATAGAAAATTCATCTGCAGAAGAAATATAACTTCATATACAGAAGATACAAATAGAAGAAGAAGACAATGAGTTGTTGACTATAGCGGAAACTTATAAGATTATGGGATTGGATAAAGCAGTACAAGAGCTAGGGTTAGTTGAACGACTAGAGTCCACAAGCAAACCCTAATATGCAATCAATGCAAATGGCGTTAACAAAGGCTTGGAACTTGAGACAAATAACGAACATTGGAGAGAAGTTATATGTTGTTGGGCCACGTGTTGAGCCGCAGAGGCTTAAAGACCCATGATAGTGAGAAGCACATGAGCCAGGCAGGGCCCAATGAGGATTCAAGAGAATTGCATTTGGACGATCTCGAGATACTCTGACTTCACATTTACTGTGCTCGAATGCGCTCCACCTACATATGAGACAAGTCATAGACCTCCTGACATAGAGATCAAACAGTTGTAAAGTCATCATCAAAGTACGAGAACCCTCTAAGATATGTGCCTCGAGGTTTGCCTGAAATAGCATTAAATGACCGCGAAGGCATTCCCTGTGAGATGGGACATTCCCAGACCGCCTGACACAACATTTAATGTCATGAGCTTCACCTGACTGGGTATAAATACCCCCCAGATAGCATTGATGGTAACCAACTACTTCATTTCTTACTAAATATCACTCCTCCCATCATCTCTCTAACTTAGGCTTTGGAGGGTGTCTCAAGCGACCTTTCTTGCATGATCCAGGAGGGTGCATAACAACCACAGACTACGACATCGACCTCACTCGCATCACTTCCCACGTGTAACATTCTAGGTTTAAACATATGTGTTCCAATTTAGGGAACTAGATGATAGAAGCAAGGTAAGGTTTGGAGGACCATGGAACTATGAGGGGGATCTATTGATATTTTGAGAGGCTAACTTGAATAATCGCCCATCTGGGATGGAAATATGGATGAGGGTGATGGAAATTCATGCATCTTACAAAAACCAAGAGATGGCAGAGAATGTGGATGCAAGATTTGGAAATTTTATTATGTTTGACGAGCTGAATTCAACAGACTGAAGAATGTTCATGAGAATAAGAGTGGCGAAAGATGTGAATGAACCGCTACTAATGCACCTTAAGATGCATAAGGAAGGGATGAGATGGGGATGACACTTTAAAGTTGAAGAGTTTTAGTAGTGCCATGATAATTGTAGTAAGTTCATTGCACAAGCATGGAATACAAGCACAATAATGCCTCCTAAGTTGGAATAAGGAAACGTTGAGATGTAAGGAGAAGGAGGAAAACATAAGCCACTTTATAGAGTATAAAAAATGAGAAAGAACACAATGGTAATCCTACAATGACGAGAGGAGCTCAATGAACTTTTACTACATGGAGAGATTATGTGGAGACAACAAACTAGAACAAATTGGTTGGAGGGAAGGGGATAGAAACACCAAATTCTTCCTTAGGAAAGCCTCAAATAGAAGAAGTAGAAACATGATTCTTGAACTTCAAAACGATGATGGTCAGCTGGGAAGGGGATAAACAGGAGTTATAACATGTATAGTTCAATATCTTAGAAGTCTCTATATCGTGGGACAACAAGAATATACAACCCATGTTCCATAGGCATTGAAGCCTAAAGTGACAAGAGAAATGAATGAGCAATTAATGTCGTGGGACAACAAGAATATACACCCTTGAAAACACCTGAGACTGATGGGCTTCCATCACTATTATTTCAAAGAAACCGGAATACATTGGGTCCTGCAATAACCGGAGCATTACACAAAATATTAGAATGAGGGGAGATGCCTCAAAACATGAATCATATGCTTATTGCATTAATTCCCAAGAAGAAAGATCCTGAAAGACCAATGGATTCCAGGCCTGTAAGACAATGCAATGTCATATATAAGATACTATCAAAGGTCATCGCCAATAGGCTTAAAAGGATGCTCAATCCAATCATTACTGAGTTACAAAGTGCATTTGTACGGGGGAGGTTCATCAACAACAATATATTGGTGGCTTTCGAGTGTGTTTCATGCAGTGAAAAACATTAGAGAGGGGCATAAGGGTTATGTTGCATCAAATCTTAATTTTGTTAAGGCTTATGATTTGGGTCGAGTGTGGTTATTTGGAGGTAATGATGATTAAATTGGAGTTTTGTGCATAATGGGTAAAACTAGTAATGCAATGTGTTACCACAGTTTCATACTCAATCCTAGTAAATGGACATCAATCGGAAACAATAATACCAACACATGGATTGTGACAAGGTGACCCCCTCTCATCTTATCTCTTTCTACCGTGTGCAGAGGGTTTATATGGATTAACAAAAAAAAAATAGTAGCAAAAGATAAGCTAAATGAGATTAAGGTATGTCGAAATGCACCAATGATTTGGAAGGAAATTCATTAGGCCTGGCCTATTACGACCACCAACATGAGATTGAATATCAAGGATCGCGCACGAATAACTTGTGCAGACCAATGGGTTGATAGTGGGGATTGCCTTTAGATCACGAGCAGAGGATGAACCACCCTTTTCCATAAACTCATGTACCACCATTTGTAACTATCGATAGTGAGTGGAACGTTCATGCTCTCTAAGAACATCTCACCGAATAATTAGTTTTCTAGGTTCTGGGTGTCCAGCCCCTAGAAGACAAATTCTAGTGAGGACTTGCCAACATGAGGTCAATAGCAAGATGATTGATTCTAATTCAATTCAGTATACGCCATTGCAGCAGACTGTGACGAGGCAAAAATGATGAAAGACTGGGGTCTGGGGGATCATCTAGAGGTGGAGGGGGCCTGATTGAGTCACCATTTTTCTAGGTTAACTTGTTTATAACTCATTCAGTCTTCTAAATACCATAGCTTTTTCAATTCACATTTTTTATATTAGTTTTGTAACTTCTCTGACAACGTAACACAAACCTAAAGTTATACATTAGTTGTTGGTCCTCATGGCGAGCAAAAATGATTGAGTCTTTGAGGGCAATATTGTTTCAAATGAAGACTTTCTACAACATGTACACGCGTGCCAAGTGTCATGGACATGGATAGGCTCATCCCAAGGATGTCAAACATGTATCCGGTCGATTGGTTCAACTGGGTCCGACCGGAATCGACCATCTAAATGGTTGGAACACACTTTGATTGGACAGTTCTGAAAAAAATTCAAAATTGGGTCAAACCAATTAAACCGATGGTCTAAACGAACAAAATTTGGTTTACAAATGAAGTTTGATGATTTTGTAATATATATTTCGTATGAATGTAGATTAGTGAGATTGTTTTATGAACCCCATCCTACAATTAAACCTCAAACCACTTGTAAAACTGGCTTGATGGATTAATCCGTTTTGACAAACTTGGCTCGTCCACGTTCCTATTATACCCATTAGAAAGAGGCACATATATCCTAGCAACCGATGCCTCCTGAGTGGATAACTCTTAATTATGATGACTCCGTCCATCTTGAATCACGTCATGCTTCTACTGGTGGCCTAATTTGGGATCATACATGACGTTGTTTGGTGGCATTAGCTTTAAACCTTGGGATTTGTTCCATCACTTGAGTAGAATTGAGAGACGCGATAAAGGGGCTTTAGTTGGCTTGGGATGTTGGCTATAGGTACATATAAGTTCATTTGGACTCCAAGTGAGTAGTTCAACTCTTTAGTTGAGATGGTGAGTATCATCAACACATAACGGTGATTCGACGCTTCAATGAACTCTAAGGTCAAGATTACGATGTTTTGATCTTCATATAACAAGAAGGTGAAAAGTGTATTGACTTTTTAGCAAATCGTGGACATGTTTTATCTTCAGATTTTTATGATATTTCAATTTTTTTGAATTTTTTTATAACATTCATGAGCTCTTCAACACTCCTTTGATTTTGAATGAAGTCTAGGATACATTGCACCCATTTAAAAAAAATACCCTAATCCCACATAAAAGCTCTCAAATCGTTTATTTTCTTTTCCATTTTCCGGGCAAGCAAGCTGCATGGGGTAAATGGGTAATTCTGGGTCAATTCCGTTCACGGAAAACTAGAAACCCTAACTCTGGGGGCGCCCGCCGAGTGTAAAGCCAAGACTCGCCGAGAAGGGCAAAAAAAAGAAAAGAGAGCCAATGCCACGTGGACACCTCGGCAGATAACGTCTCCCAAAAACCTCTCGATGACGTGTACCTTGTAACCGCGGCCTCCATATAAATACCACCATCTTTCCCTCTCTTCGTTTTTTCGTTCTCATCCATTATCTCTCTCCTTCTTCACTGTCCATTTTCCTCTTCTTGAATCGCTATCGAACGGATTGGGACCGATACTTGCTAACCCGGACACTCGCCTCCCTGATCTCTCGCTCCCTGTCTCCTTCTTCCGGCAAGCATTTCCCGGAAAGGCTGGGGGATCCGGAGAGACCCTCCCGTTGGTCTAGGGTTTTTTCCTCCAGATTTGAATCGGCCGTTCCTTTGTTTTTTTGCGCGCTCTGATCGGAATTTCTGTCTCGGTTCGAAGGAGATCCCGATTGTTTCTTCCTGGCTTGGCTCGAGATCCCGGGCCAAGCACAGAAGAACCGCTTCACCGTTTTCAGATTCACTTCCTTCTCTCCGGACTCGGGAAGCTGACTGCAGCAGAGGTATTAGTTTGTATCTCTCGTTTCTCTCTTTGTTAATCTGCTACTGTTTTTTTTTTGTTATCTTGCGGAGGTTATCTGTATTGTTGCTTGCAATACGAGAGGGAAAAATGCGATAGCTGAAGTCTGTTTTAGTAGATGAGTGTTGTTGCGTAGGTAAGTTTGAGATTCAGATATTGTGATATCCGCGTTGCAGTTCCGATCATTGAAACTTTAGAGTCACGGTTGTTCATTTTAGTTTCTCATCGGCTGATGGTTCTGGAACAAGAACTTTAACTTTTGGAAATGGTGGATGCATCGTTAAGCGTATTTGTGATGCTAGGATTTAATTGCTCTCTGTTTTTTGTTTTGTTTTCAATTGCAGAAGGTATTGTACAGGATTCATTGTGTAAATGGCGTCAAATGAGGGATTTCTAACTGATGAGCAGAGAGAAGTGTTGAAACTTGCCTGTCAGAACGCAGACAACCTGACTTCACCGCCTAAAAGCTTGTCGTCGTCACCTAAATCCCCTTCAGGGTTGCGTCCTGAACACTTTGTGAGAGTTCCTGGTGCTGGCAAAGCATCCACAGGTGGTGCTGGTGGCAGGCATGTAAAGCGATCACACTCTGGCAAGTACGGGAGAGCAAAGAAGGGTGAGAACCCTATGATTTAGCCAATGTGATTTTGTTATTTACATGGACTAAGAAAGCTGCTGGATTCTGAATTTGTTACCTATTATGGTAGTACTGTTATCACTTATTAGTAGGGTTCTGGAGATGGAGTTACTTCGTATTTTCAGTATTCGTGGTGTGGTCTGAAAAAATTCATTTGATTGTTTCTAGTTGAGTTTCTCTTGACTTTCGTATCTGGTTAAGTTTCTTCTTATGAATGCTTGAGGCTGAAAATTTTCTATGTATTTGTGATCCTTTCTGTTGTGGTGTATATTGGTGTTGATTGCTCATTTTTTGCTTTTTCTAGTACTTAGCTCGGTGCAATTTTCTTTCAAATTTTGGTCAGTTCTGTGCACTTGTGTTAAAACTTTATAGTTATGTAGGATTGCACTTAACTATTTCTACTATTGAGTGATGGGAACAGATGGTGCTGGTGGGAAGGGAACATGGGGGAAGCTTCTTGATACAGAAGGTGACATCCATATTGATCGCAACGATCCTAATTATGACAGTGGAGAGGTAACTCATACTTTGATCTATTCGTGATTTTTTTTAAAGGAATTGTGGGATGTATTTTTCCTGATGCTCTTCTTTTTTACCAGGAACCCTATAAGCTCGTTGAGGCTACCCTATCTGATCCCTTGGATGACTACAAGAAAGCTGTTGCTTCCATAGTAGAAGAGTACTTCAGTACTGGGGATGTGGAAGTTGCAGCATCAGACCTCAGAGAACTTGGAGCCAGTCAATATCATCCATACTTTATCAAAAGACTCATTTCCATGGCCATGGACAGGCACGACAAGGAGAAGGAAATGGCTTCTGTTTTACTGTCCTCACTATATGCTGATGTCATAACTCCTGCCCAAATCCGGGATGGTTTTGTCATACTTCTCGAATCTACTGATGACCTTGCTGTAGATATATTGGACGCAGTAGATGTCCTTGCTTTATTTGTCGCACGTGCAGTGGTTGATGAGATACTCCCACCTGCATTTCTCCCCCGAGCAAAGAAAACTATTCCTGAAGCATCAAAGGGATTTCAGGTTCTACTGACAGCTGAAAAATCCTACCTTTCAGCTCCTCACCATGCTGAGCTTGTGGAGAGGAGATGGGGTGGTAGCACTCGCACCACTGTTGAAGAGGTGAAGAAGAAGATTGCCAATCTGTTGAGGGAGTATGTTGAGAGTGGATATGCTGTTGAGGCTTGTAGATCCATTCGAGAACTAGGGGTTACATTCTTCCACCATGAGGTTGTGAAGAGAGCTTTAGTTCTTGCAATGGAGATGCAAACTGCTGAACCACTCATCTCCAAGCTCCTGAAGGAAGCTTCGGAGGAAGGGCTCATAAGTCCTAGTCAAATGACCAAAGGCTTTGCTCGATTGGCAGAGAGCCTCGATGACCTTGCACTTGACATTCCATCTGCTAAACCCCTTTTCCACTCCATCCTCTCTAAAGCCACATCAGAAGGATGGCTGGATGCTTCCTTCTCAAACACTTCAGGTGAAGATGGGCAACCACGAGCTGAGGATGCAAAGTTGAAGCGCTACAAAGAGGAGGTTGTCACGGTTATCCATGAGTACTTCAACTCCGATGATATCCCTGAACTGATAAGGAGTTTGGTAGATCTCGGTTTGCCAGAGTACAACCCGATATTCTTAAAGCGGCTTATAACCCTTGCCATGGACAGGAAAAACAGGGAGAAAGAGATGGCATCTGTTTTGCTCTCGGCTCTTCACATAGAGATCTTCTCGACAGAAGATATAGTTGATGGCTTTGTGATGCTATTGGAATCTGCAGAAGATACAGCTCTCGATATCCTGGATGCTTCGAATGAGCTGGCCTTGTTTCTAGCCAGGGCTGTGATAGACGATGTGCTAGCACCTTTGAATCTAGAGGAGATAGGAGGCCAGCTGCCACCAAACTGCAGTGGGACAGAGACTGTAAAAATGGCTCGATCTCTCATTACTGCTCGCCATGCTGGGGAGAGGCTCCTGAGGTGCTGGGGAGGCGGGACAGGGTGGGCCGTGGAAGACGCGAAGGACAAGATCATGAAGTTGTTGGAGGAGTATGAGAGCAGTGGGGGAGTAGGTGAAGCCTGCCAGTGCATCCGCGACTTGGGAATGCCATTCTTCAACCACGAGGTGGTGAAGAAGGCGCTGATCATGGCCATGGAGAAGAAGAACGACAAGATGCTGGATCTGCTCCAGGAGTGTTTCAACGAAGGGCTGATCACCATTAACCAGATGACGAAAGGGTTCACCCGCATCAAGGAAGGGCTCGATGATCTTGCTCTTGACATACCAAATGCAGAGGAGAAGTACGCTTTCTACGTCGAGTATGCCCAGAAGAAGGGTTGGCTTCAGGCATCCTTCTAGACCTAGATGGCCTTTACTTGGGAAGCACGCTGGGTTTACATGGTCCACTAGATGAAGCTTCAAAGGTGGATAGATAAACAGAGCATGAGAGCTTGCATTAGATTCCTTTGAGCGATTGTTCTCCTTACGTTTTCCTTCCCTCCCTTATCTTTGCTCCTGGGTTTTGTTGGTGTTTCAGGAAGGGCCAGACGAGGAAATTTGTGTTGCCATCGAAGCCGATGTACAAAGTTGGTTCTCGTCTTTACCAATTAGGCTTTTAACTCTAGGAATGAGCTGTTGTGCTGTCTGGATTATAGCAATACGATCTTTCCCCTTTGATTGTTAAGAACTATTGTTCCTCTGTCCTTCATATTATGCTTCTATCTTCACGGATTGCTGTTCTTCAACCAGGTATGGATGTCTGTTTTCCGCGAGTTAAATATTGTGGAGATACTGGAACACCGGTTGCAGATTAATAGATGTAGCTGAAAAGCCTTTGTTACGGGAAATACCGAAATAGTGAATTTGATGGAAGGCAGAAAGTGAACGGATTGCTGAGGAGTGGGAACTGGGAAGAGAAAGAGAAGCCCGAGAAAGAGTATGGGTTAGGCCCGAATTGGTCTGGGAGCGGGTTTTGGGATTTTGGGCTGGCTCGGTTGGGCTTTTTCCGGTTAGCCATGCGACATTCTTTACTCTTTAGTACAAATTTTGGTGATAACGATGATGTGGTAATTTGGATGGTAAAATGGACGGACATTAACTGAACTACCAATTTGCTCGTTATGAAGAATATAAGTGATCGATTTGTTAAAATTGAAATGTTAATTATCCATTTGTTAGCAACCCTAAAAAAGAACTATCGCTCCGCCGCGCCGGCTAGCGGAGGGGCCGAATGGCAGAAGTTCCAAGTCAGAAGTTAGGTGATAGATTCTTCCCCGGAGTCGTTCTTTTATCTCTGTAGAAAGAATCATGGAAGAAATTCCGGAGACCCCCAGACTTCAAGCCGTGCTCGTGAAGCCAGAGTTCGACTCCATGGAAGGAAGCTCCAAGACGACAACGCATTCCAAGGTCGTTGTTCTGGCTGACCTCAACGCCTGTCCTCCCGAGGCCGACGCCTTCGATTCCGTCGATGTCGCTGCCCTAGATATCACCAGGTTTTACTTCGTTTGCTCGCCTGTAACTGCTGTAGCGTCTTCTAATTATGCGACCGCTTGGCTTTTGGTCACTTCTGTTGTCAATTATCCAATCCATGATTATAATTGAATGAGAACTGAGCTTATATGAGAATTATGTTTCATGTAGATTGGTCAATGACGATAGTCAGGAGAGAGGAAGCTTAACGAGCAAAGAAATGGATGGCATAGAAGGTGAAGCTAAAAAATTGAACAAGCAAGTGAAGTGCCGGTCGAGAAGTGGCAAGGCAGAAGGGGCGTTTGAGTATGGAGCTGATGCAGATGCGGATCAACATGGTCAAAGCTCAGTCTCCTCTCGTGAAGAAAAAGTCAGCAGCCTGAAAACGGTTGGTTCTCTTAGCTCCTCTAAGCCAGTTTTTTTCTGATATTCATCTGGTGTTTGATAGCTCTTCTCATTGGGTGTTTTGTCCATGGCGCGATAGGGTTTGGTCCATGTTGCAAGGAAGATGCCGAAAAACGCTCATGCTCACTTCATACTTGGTCTAATGTACCAAAGGCTTGGACTGCCTCAGAAGGTATTTTTTTTGAAATTGGATTTCATCGACACTGAAATTCATGCAATTTTGTTTAATTGGGCTGGTGCAAATCCGTTTAGGCAGTTTCAGCTTATGAAAAGGCAGAAGAGATTTTGCTGCGGTGCGAGGTTGAGGTTGCCAGACTTGAGTTGCTTACGTTGGTTCAAGTTCACCATGCACAGTGCATTCTCCTTGAGAATTCTGCTGACAATAGTATGGATAAAGAACTTGGTGCTGATGAAATCGGTGAAGTTCTTTCCAAACTGAATGAATCAATGCATAAAGATATCAGACAAGCGGCTATTTGGAACACACTGGGTTTGATACTTCTTAAATCTGGTCGTCTTCAGGTTAGATATGCGTTTCCATTAACTTGTGTTTTTTAGTATGGCTCTGGTCATCATTTCGCTTGGCATGACTTGGTCCATGTCTTTGTGGCAGAATGCAGTTTCAGTTTTCTCAGCTTTGTTGGCTGCTGACCCTAACAATATTGACTGCCTTGCAAATTTGGGGATTGCTTGCCTCCAAAGGTAAAGGAGTTGGAGTTTTTTTCTTCTTGGATCATTGTCAAAACTATCATTCTATAAGTTAAAATTATAGGCAAACAGCAATGCGAAATACAGAAGCTTGTGAGATGCAGTCACTTGGGTACAAATGAAAACTTGGATTTAATAAATTGATTTCAAACTTCCATTTTCCTTAAACTATCTTTTTATTCTTGATTCAGTCTTAGCACTTTATCACCGTTTCTTCTATTTTATTTATGTATCTAGTAGCTAGACTTGATTCATACTTGGCACAGGCTTAGCAGTTTCTGATTTTGTCATCTTGCAGTGGAGACTTGGAGTTGTCTGCTAAATGCTTTCAAGATTTGATTCTCAAAGATCAAAATCATCCTGCTGCTTTCATCAACTACGCAGCCATTCTGCTATGTAAATATGGGTCAGTTGTAGCAGGTACCATCTTTGACGAATATTGGCTGCAGCTGTCTTTGTCAACTTTTCAGTTTTAGCTGGACTGGAGGAAGTAGTCAGGCCCTGTATGTTTCATTTTCTCAAATATGGGGTTAAAGAGGCTTAAAAGTGCTACTGCTGACATCAGGTGCTGGATCACGTGCTGGTGAAGGAGCTTCTGTTGATCAGTTTGATGCTGCTAATGTTGCGAAAGAATGTTTGTTGGCTTCATTGAAACTGGATCCTAAGGCTGCTCATGTATGGGCTAATCTTGCTAATGCCTATTACATGACTGGTGACCACAAGAGCTCTAGCAAGTGCTTGGAGAAGGTGCTCATGGCTTATTGCCCCCAGTATTTATTGCTTCCTTGTTGAGGTTGTTCATTGGTCTCTTCGATCTTGGACAACTTATGTTTTGTCATCAAGGAAAAAAACGGACTTTTTGTTCATAATTAATTCTTTGGGGAACTGAACAGATAGTTGTGATTCATTTTACTGTGCCAATAAAATCATCACCTACTCTTGTTTCTACCTGTTGAATGTCATTTAGGCAGCAAAACTTGAGCCTAATTGTATGTCCACTCGATATGCTGCGGCGGTCCACCGAGTCAAGGATGCAGAAAGGTCTCAAGATCCTAGTGAACAACTCTCTTGGGCTGGAAATGAAATGGCTTCGGTGCTGAGAGAAGGGGATTCAGTTTCAATTGAGCTGCCAATTGCTTGGGCAGGACTTGCTATGGTTCATAAAGCCCAACATGAGATTACATCATCATTTCAGACCGAGCATCATGAGTTGGTGGAAGTGGAAGAGCGTGCTTTCTACAGCTTAAAACAGGTAATTCAATAATTCGATCGATCTACACTTTTCATGATATTTAGTGCTGTGGGATAGCCGACTCAATGTTGCAATATTTTCATGCTTTAATGTCTTGTCATTTTGCATTAAACATTTAAACCTATATTCTCTCGACCATCAGCATTGTGATCTCTTATTTTAACTTGGTTTTGTACCACGCATGAATAAAAGAGGCCAGGCAAGATGTTATTTATTTAGTGCCCGTGAGGTGAGTGGAACTGTGGAAGTAGTAACTTCTAATGTAAGTACGTTATTTTAGATATAAAGATTTCATCTACATGAATCAAGGCTGCTGCAGGACTTGGTAGTTAGAACTTAGAACTTATGATTGGGAATTGGAAAAGTGTGCTCCGTTCCTTTCCAGCTAAACATATTCTACTGCTGTCTAGTAAGTGGGAACTGGAACATTGTGAGTGTGTTGTTCATTTCAACATCTCCGGAGATTAAAGAGTTGCAAACCAGCAGCCTGAATGAAACATCAGAGTACAATTAGGTTATATGATGTGCTTCAAGAACCATAGGATCAACTGTCTAAAGCATACTTCATCATTCATGTTCTTGTGTTCCTTCATTCTTCTTGACATCTGTTCACTTTTGGTATAATATATTGTGAAATTAGGCAATAGGGGAGGATCCAGAAGATGGCACCCACTGGCACCAGCTCGGGCTACACTGTCTATGCTCACGCGAGTTTGAAACTGCACAAAAGTATCTGAAAGTCGCCGTCGCTCGTCTCAGAGAACACAGCTATGCATGGTCAAATCTCGGCATCTCCCTCCAACTGTCTGGCTCACACTTGTCAGAAGCCGAGGACATCTACAAACGAGCTCTGTCGCTGGCAAAACCGGAGGATGCACACGCTATATTCTCCAACCTAGGGAATCTCTACCGGCAGCAAAAGCAGTACGAACGTGCCAAGGCAATGCTCACCAAGGCTCTCGATCTTCAGCCAGGGTATGCTCCCGCGTTCAACAATCTCGGCCTCGTGTTTGTCGCCGAAGGCAGGTGGGAGGAGGCTAAGTTCTGCTTCGACAAAGCTCTTCAGGCAGACCCGTTGCTGGATGCAGCCAAATCCAACTTCATTAAGGCGAGCGGCATGCCCAAAATCCTTGCGGGGTTGTCGTCCTGCCACCTCCACCCCTCGAAACAAGCTTGAGGTATGTAATGTATGTATGTATGTATGTACGGCTTTCCCGTCTTTGGAATTTCGAGTTAGGGGGTTGTGCGATGATATCGTCCAGGGATTACAAATGCAGTTTGTAGAATACATATCCTGCAATTGCACGCATCGTCTTGTGTTTACTTGCAGCCATGTAAATCTTATTAGTATAGAGAATAGAGAGCGCGTCGGTGTTGTTATTGTGTTTGAGGAGCAGTTGACAACTTGACATATCCCTTCTTCTTGTGTTGCGGGGTTCCTTTTTAACCTTTTGCCTATTCACGTTTCCTTCCGGGTTCCAGCTTGCGCCCTCTTTTCATTTATTACTATTTTTTTTTTTAAAGAAGGCTGTGTGGTGGGCCCTCTTTTCCTGAAAATGCGGAGTTGAAATAAGTTAGTTACCATTTATCAACGACCAAAGCGAAGGCCAACAGATGGTTTTTACTGGGATTAGTTTTCACTTTGGGCGAGTGAGTGAGTTACCCATAATGTTTCATTTGTCAGATGGCTGAGGAACAAAATTGCGAACGTGAGCCATATGCCACTAAAATTTGGAAGCTGGTTTTGGTTTTATGAAATTATTGTTGCAACATTGCACATGTGTTAATTAAGTGCCCAAAGAAAAGGACTCCACTCAACTTGATAGGGATTGCCAGTTCCCAACGCTTTTGAGATGGAGGGAGGGCATTGAGTAACCCTTTCTTTTAGGTAACCCTTGTAAGATTGAGTAACCCTTTCGGTCCTGGATTTTTTTTTTTAAGGAAATTTAATTTCATGTCCAAAGTTTGACAGATTACAGATTGGGAGCTTAACTCGGCTAAGTAATTTTTTTTTTTTTTTTGAGAATAGGAGTCTAATTTTCTAAATGGTAAACAATTCAAAATTTTAACTCATTGTATTATTGAAAAAAGATTTAAATTTTTTTCGTTGCTTGGTAATTGTGATTGTTAATCGTCAATAAAAATAAAAATAAAAATAAAAACTGTATTTTTTCTCGAATAGCATGTTTGTCTTTAACTAAAAGAATCAGAGTGACTCAAAAAATATTGAGAATGTTTTGGTAAATGTATTCAATGAGATAAATAAAAAAGAAGAGATAATGTAGGAGGAAAACAAATCTTGCAAATTAAGATATGGAATCTATATAATTATGAGAGATTTGCGGGTCATATCTCTAGATGTTAGATATTTGAAATCTCTAAATTTAGAAGGCACGATACAAAAGGCAGAAAAAAATATAACTTTCTAATGAATCTATAGTTTCAATGTAACTATAATCCAAATGTTTTACTAAAAAGGTAAGATAGCCTAACGGTAAGCTGTCGCAGCAGTGAAGGTTTTGGAGTTACAGATTCCATGTTCGAATCTAAGTGAGGCCCGTTGGTGTTCCCGGAGGTATAAGGTTGTTGGGGCGAAGCCATGTGGTTAGGTGCCTGCATAGTTGAGTTTGGTAACTTTTGAAATCGGAAAAGACCTAGTTGTGGATTTTATATGTATGCACAACAAAGGTTCAAGAAAATCAGTTTATGTAATTGATTGTTGGATTCGGTTCATATAATAAGGATTTAGTTGGGGAACAAAACAGGCTTGTTACTAACGCAGATGAAATCGATTTACTTTAGCGTTGATCAAAATTGGATAATATTAATACGATCAATAATAGAGAATGTTATAAACGCGCTGCTACGGATCGGGAAATCGCCGGAATCGACAAAGCAAAAATACGAAAGCGAGAATCGAAAAAACACAGACACACAATTTACGTGGTTCACTAACACGATGTGTGTTAGCTAGTCCACGGGCGAGAGAGAGCCAGTTTCACTATATCGAGGAGATTACAGATTACAGATTACAGAGGAGTATGAGAAGTATTTGTAGTACTTCTCCATGTGGGTCTAAACCTAATCCAATATGGCAAAGGAAACGGGGCGTTGCCCCTGACCCCACTCGCTGACCGGGCAGCGAGACCCCCGATTACCAGTCGTAGCGGCTGATAGTCCGATTCAAGTCACATCAACAGAGAAATTCATAAATAAATAAAAAAAAAAACTAAATGAGTCTAATATCATAAACTCAATTCAAAATCAAACACGAGATTATAAGATCAGTTCTATTCGTAGCCGTTTCAAAATGATATAAACAGACGATATTGTTTATCATATTATAACGAGACTTGCTTCGTCATTAGTCATTATTATTCTTCTTGATAAATAATCCCAATGTGGAAGTCGTCAAACGGTTTGCTCACTCTGCCGGCAGCCACCGAAATACACAATTGTTTCTAACTAGCATGGTCCTACACTTCTACCTCATTATTATTCCCTCTCCCTTGTGTCCCTCATCAGTCATCATCCTCCTCCGCCTCCTCCTTCCAAAAAAACAACTGGCACTCTCTCTCCATATTCTTCAAAACCTCATCGCTACTCCACAATAAGACCGACCATCCAATTCCTTCTCCTTCCTTCCTCCCTTCCTCACCCCGCCGCCAATCCCATAATTCACCGGCTAACAACAATGAACGGCGGCGTCTCCAACTCCAAGCTCCCTCTCCTCCTCAAACCATTCCTCCTCTCCTTCTTCCTCTCCCTCTCAATTCTCATCCTCTTCCTCGCCGCCTCCAGATCCCTCTCCCCAACCCCCATCCCATCCCTCGCCACCTCCGCCGCCGCCGCCGCCGCCGGCGGCGGCGGCCTCCGCATCCGGAAAGGTCTCCACTCCTACGACGCCTACATCCAGCTCCAGCTCAACAAAACCCTCAACCCCAAACTCCGCAAATTGTGGAAGACCCGCGACTGGGACCGCAAGGTCCGGGTCTTCGCCGCCTTCTTCCGGGCCCTCACGCGCCGCGGCCTCCTCTCCAACTCCTCACGCGCCCTCTCCATCGGCGCACGCGTCGGGCAGGAGGTCGAGGCGCTCCGGCGCGTGGGGGTGAGCGACTCCATCGGGATGGACCTCGTCCCTTCCCCGCCGCTCGTCGTCAGGGGTGACTTCCACGCGCAGCCGTTCCCCAACGCGAGCTTCGACTTCGAATTCTCCAACGTGTTCGACCACGCGCTCTACCCGGAGAAATTCGTCGGGGAGATCGAGCGGACGCTGAGGCCCGGCGGCGTGTGCGTCCTCCACGTGTCGATTTCTAAGCGGGCGGACAAGTACTCGGCCAACGATCTGTACAGCGTGGCGCCGTTGGTGGCGCTGTTTAGGGAGTCGGAGGTGGTCGGGGTCCGGCGGGTCGACGGGTTCGGGCTTGATACCGAAGTTGTGTTCCGGAAAAAGATGATACGCAAGAACAAGAAGAAGATAAATCCAAAGGGTACAGATTAATTTCAATTTTTTTTACATATAAAGAGGATACGAATTTTTTTTATATACATGGAACTATTGGGGATTTAATTATTTCTGTATGTATTATGTGCGTTGTTTTCCTTTTGATTAAAAAAAAAGTGTAATTGATTAGTGGTTTGACTATGTATCGTAATTGAGATGAGATAGTGGAGCCGAAAGGGTAATTAATAAAGATGGATAGGAATTAATGGGGGACAAATTCTAGAATTGTGGAATTGGGGGAATGGAGTACACCGCACATTTAGCGTATGGAATTTTTGTTTGGAAAGAGAGAGAGAGAGAGAGAGGAATAAAGGAAAATGATTGGTGCTTGGTTGGTTACTTGGTTTATGACTTTGTTATCAATAATTGTGCATGATTATCGGTAGAGTCATGAATTATTTTTATTATTATATATCTTGCGCCATGTGGATGATGGTATGTGTTTCAGACGGATAATATACATTCATCATGGTCTTGGTATTGGACTATTGGTCCATCTTATTGTTTGGTTAAATCACAATTTAGATCTAATTCATTGTACTCGATTTCGTTTTGTTTGTGACGGATAATATTTAAATTATAGGTGAGATATAGTGGGTATATGTACTTTTTTCAACCTGATTTGTTTTGATCTGCCCCATTTTTCACTCATTTTTGCTTAAATTACATGTAATCTTACTTAAAATATTTACAATTTTAATTTCATTATCTTAAATATTAGCTATAATAAAGTTATAAATAGACGAGAATCTTAATTTCTCGAATAATTGAACTATATTTATCATATTATAGTTTGTTTATAGATTTTTAAATGAAAATTTGAATATTTCTTCTATTTTCCTTTTACATTACATATCCATATAGGTCGACCTGCCCACTCCGCGTCCCATGATGTGGGTATGATATCGAGATATTCGCCGCCACGAACAGGGCAAACTCTTAGGTCCCTTTCATTACAACATTTTTGAACGACTTCTTGGATAACAAGCCTACAGATTTTCTTATTAACAATAGTGATGATATTGATGATAGAATGAAGGCTATAGTGCCAGTGGCGGATACAGGGGGTGGCCACCCCAGGCCACGGCCCAGCCCTCCTCTGGATCCGAAACTAGTATAGTTCCTATGAGTTTATCGGTTGTAGTTATTCGGCCCATTGTTATTTTATAATAAGATTGTGTGTAATTAGAAAAATGGGTTAGATGAACATATTCAAAACACAGCTCCAAATTTAACCTGAAAATTCTAACTCCAATGATTCTCGTCTAAAGAAAAACAAGCAATGAAACCTAAAATTCTAGAAGTAAAAAACGTAAAAGACTAAAAGAAATATGAGGTTTGTTCACTTAAAAAATTACTAGAGTAGCGGGTGAAAATAGGGATGGACACACAATATATATATATTGATCAGTCGATTGATTTGTCTAGTGTTGACATTGCTCGTTTCAACAACTACGGAGAGAACCTTTTCACAAATGAAATAGGTGAAAAATTATCTGCGTAATAAATTGAGCGATGAATTTCTCGCCAATTGGTTAACTATTTTATCTTAAAGAGAGTATGCTATTGGTATGGATGTAGAGTCCATTATTGATGAATTCACTATATTAAAATTTAAAATGATCGACGTGTACAATTGATATTGTAAAAAAATGATAATTTTCTTACGGTATCTAATTTTCTAATGAAATGCGACCCAGTGCTCTACTATGTCCTGGATCAACAGCTGTATAGTGCTATACCATTTAATCACATCTCGTTCATTTTAGAGTATACCTAACTAAAATCCGTTCGATCCTTAGATTAACAGAGCGTTGTTGAATGAGTTTGTGAGTTTGTGTTATAATTTGGGTTTGATGGAATAGGTTTGGGTTGACATGGAGATGGAGTAAAGGTGATTGAGGGAGGGAGGGAGGGAACAAGTGGTAGGTCAAGCCATGTGCGTAGCCGTTATTGTGGGGATGGATGGATGCGTTACTTCCTTTTGTTGCTAGCTGTAGCGACGAAAACAAACAAGGAGAAGAAGAAGAAGATGGAAGAAGGTTGGTTCGGTTCTGTCTTATTCAACGTCGACATGTACTGGCATAGGCTGTTTCCGTGTACAAGGATGATGTCCCAGCGCTTTCTATATTATTAACTTGTACGCTGCCCGCTGGAATTGCTAATTATATCTTTGATGCTATGCTAACCCCAGCAATTAATTCATGTTTTATCAGAGCACGAAGGCGAGGTTAAATTCAATTTAACAGATGACTACAACAAAGTTAATCATTTCAATTTTTAATAAATAGAATAAGAAGCATGCAGACTAGTGTTTTTTTGGAAACGAATTTGAAACCAATATGAATGGTATCTTCCCGGCCTACAAGTTAATTATCTCAACTCCTCTCTATCGAAATTGTTACGACATCTCCTCAACCACACATTTGTAAGTATGTTGTTATTCTTATCTCGTAGCGTCAAAGTCGTAGCGTGAAAGAATCAAAGTATTGCTACAAGCTCCATAGGAAGTTCTCCAACTCCCTTGTGTTCCTCGACCCATCAAAGCTCATTGGTCTCGAAACATCCACCATCCGCCGATGGATGGGGTTGTGCCATGAGAGGTAAATTATATTATCCATGAACCTCTTTAGGAGATTATCACCTTGAGCTTCACAACCTCATCCCTCGCCTAGCAAGCTCGCCTCTCTGCCATCTCTCTCAATGACTCAGTGGTGTTGTTGAGGATACCAAGTAGTTCACTACAAAATGCCTCCAAGCCCTCTTCCAACCTCATCATGCGGTGCTACCAAGGTTGTCAACCCGCCTTAGCTTGTTAACCTAGTCGAGTAGGTGGGTTGATGGTTAATGGTCCAATCAATTTACCCCAATTTAGTCGGGATATATGAGAAAGTCGTTACATTGTTCATACATTTATAAATTATAATATAAAACACCCAAAAGATTGTTCTTTTGGAAATCACACACACAATATAGAAGAATAGGGAGAGAGAGAGAGAAACATGTACAAAAGATGCTTTGTAATAAAGTTTGACCTATTACTTTACGTTTTGGCTCAAAAGTGATTTACCCTTTGAGACCTAGTGTCTAAATTTTTATCTTATTCAAACTAACTCCAAGTTGAGCTCCATTGGGTGGAACTCGGGCCCTTGACAACAATAGAGCAACATATTCATTTCTATCTTCCTCACAAGCACTCACACTAAAGAGAGAGACTACACAACCTCACAATCACTAAAAAATATAGATAGCAAACCTCTATCACTTGTGAACCCTAATGCTAATCCCAGATTGTTTGATCTTGCTTTGTGTAGGATTGCTCTACCACATTCCATAAGGCTTGCCTTGTTGCTCCCTCCTATTTATACTTCATTAATACAACGCTTTTCTGTCTACTCTTGATTTGGAAGATTCTTCTTCTTTCAGTTATAAGATCCTATGATCACATTTTCACAACTATGGCAAGTAAAATAAATCCATAAAAATTAGTCGGGAAAGTTACCTTTTCATGGATCGGGGTAGAAAGGTAAAGCCTTTCTTTTCCAAATAACCCCCTGCTTTTCTTTCTACAACATTTATTTTCTCAAGGGATACCAACCATCGTAAGAGATAATAAGAAGTTGAGATGCAAGCAAAGAAAGAAGGAACCATTCATGTCATAGCAAATCAAGAAGACCATTAAAAAGGAACTCAATAGAGAGTCAATAAGGACTGGTACTCCCCTGAATACAACAAACCTCCCCCTGTCACATGTGACTCTCTTCCCCCTTGGTGGCTGGGATCACTGAGGTGTCGGTATGTGTTCGTAACGGTGAAAATATTTGAAGGAGAATAAGGAATAGACTTCCACTCAATAGAGTACCCTTCAAGATCACACCAATATGAAGAATGAACTGAGATGAGGGGGGGGGGGGCATAGGGAAGGGAAGTGTCCCGAAAACCTTCACGCGAGGCACACTTGACCATGTGGAGACACATCAGGGAGGTAAGATTGACCTAGCGTCCTTGAAGAACATTGACCAACATGAATAGATCCATGTGTTCAATGGTGTATAAGTGAGCAGATCGAGGTAGAAAGAACCTAGTGATTAACAAGTGAAGTACTTTGAGAAGATCAGGGACAGGGAGAAAAATATGTAGATGATGCCCTGAGTAAGCTGTTGAAGCTCAATTACATAGTCAAAGTCACCAAGCTAAAGCTTTAATGTGTATCGAAGAGAGAGACCTTGAGATGTAAGGTGGAGCACAGAAGCAAACTGTTGGGAGTCAAAGATGGTCTGAAACCCTAGAAAGGTCGATGTAAGGCAAGAAGGTCAAGAGGGACTAGCTCGTATTAGACGAAGGTTGTGGTAGAATTTTCGAACAACAAGAGGGCATAAGGTTGAGGATTGGGATTAGTGACGATCGAAGAATCCTTCCCAACCAAGATTAGTGATGAGGGTGGAAACTACATACGAAAAGGTTGCTAAAGGAGGAATCACATACTAATTGAGAATGTGGATGGTTCTAAAGAAGGAGTGATAATCTCCCTGACTGATGATAGACATACAATCATTGTTGACGTAGGTGAGGAGAGTATCTTGGCCAACCATTGCTAAGGAGAGATGGAGTGGAAAATGAAAAGAATGAGAGTCACAAGTTCAGGGGGAGGTTTGTTGTATTCAGGGGGAGTACTAGCCCTGATGGTTAATTGTTTGCCAGACGCAAAAGGGTATCTTATCTGCCCTCCAAAGTTCAATGTCTTACTTGGTCTTCCAAAGAAGCAAAGGAGGAAAACACTAGTGTATATTGAGACAGTTCGACATGGTAATGATGATGCTTCTCTCTAGAGGAAAAATGCGTCATGCATTGTAGCAAATGCAAATCTTTGTCGTCCAAAGAAGCAAAAGAGGAAAACACTAGGGGAGTTTGAGACAGTTCAACATGGTAATGATGTTGCTTCTCTCTAGAGGACAAAGTATGTCATGCATTGTAGCAAATGCAAATCTCCAGATAAA